GGTTGCATAATATCCCAGCAGAGGAACCAGATTTTTGTCCTTATTTTCACATTAACACTCGCACAACTTCTCAGTTTAAGAGAAAGTCGTCTGGTCCCAGTGTTGGAAATGAAGCAGCTAAAAAGGCCCATAACAACCTTTTAGATGTTTACAGTTTTAAGGAATCTAGTCAAGGAAAATACAAGAAATTTTGATTTTTTTTAAGAATATTTGGTTTGTTTCTTGTTTTGCAGTGTGTTCATGATGATGCATTTTCCAGTGTTTTACTTAATCGCAAACGTTTCATAATCATCAATATGTTCAGGCGATATATCTGGGGTCAACTCATCAGCCGCCTCTGGAATACGACACCTCTGTCATTTGGTCCCTGAATTGGGACAAAGCTACGCTGTCTGGTTATAATGAAAACTTATAGCCCCCTCCATGGCTCACAATCCCCCTCCACGGCTCATGATGCCCCTCAGTGGCTCCAGCCGGGAGGCGGTGTCTCCCGGCTGGAGCCACTGACTCAGATTTATCACTCCTCATTTTCACCGTCCCCCTTCTGCTCCTCGCCCAGAGCTCTGTTACTGTCTGCCTGTTCTGATCCTCCTCTGCACCTTTCGAACCTCAATCACAGCTCTGATAGACAGAGGGGGAGAGAGGGGGGAGAGAGAGGGAGAGAGGGGGAGCCGAGCTGAGGAGGCAGAGACCTAACGGGATGAGGAGGCTTTAGGAAAGCACTGCAGGTAACAGAGCTCACAGGTAATAAGAACTCAATCTTCTTGAGTCCAAATCCACCAGAGACGAGCTCTGTGCTTCTCACAATTCTGCTGAATACAAAACATAAAACATTTACTGACTGTATTCTACCTGATTAATGTTCAACGATTCAGTTGTATTAAATATTAGTCTCAGTCTGTCTGTCAATCTAATTCTAACTCCACCTTCAGTTCTGCTCATTTAAAGACCGCAGTGACTCACCACAGCAGCAGAGCAGGAACAGCGAGCTGCTGGTCAGAGCTAACAGAGCTAACAGAGCTAACAGAGCTAACGAGCAGCTGCTGTCAGACTCTCTGTGTCCACTGGAGCTTTAAGAGTCACTAGAAGCACATTTACACTTCTGTGTGCATCCTGTCTGTAGCTAAGCTAGCGGCTCAGAGAGGCTAACTCTCGGTGTTGAGACATTTTTAACACATCAAATGCAGATTTTCATAAATTTGGTAATACTGTGAATATTGACAGCAGAATTGATTGATCATATAATTCAGTTCACAGATCAGTAACATGTTTTAGGGTAGGCTTTTGCGATCAACAATCTTCTGAAACAACAAAAGGAAACAACCACAGCAAACTTTAACTATGGCGTTACTGTGTGCTATGTTTATGATGCAACCCATGCAGCAACATCCCTTCTTTCCTGTGTGTCTCCGGCGTAGAGTCAATACGTTTTTTAATTAAACTGACACAATGCAGCGTTTCTGTGAATGAATCTCTCACTACAGCCTCAGTGAGGATCTGTATCACGCATATAAATCACGTCTACATACGCACCAAAGGATCAAATGTTGGGACATCAAAGACGCCGGGGTTCCAGTGAATTGCATAAAATATTTCCCCCTCGCTGCCCGCACTGTACCGAACGCCATCGTTTCCTCGGGTTATGTGCTTTTATTTCATGTTGATAGAGTGGAGCCAGGCGCTGTGGTGTTTGGCTCACCTTGCCTTTGGTTAGGTGACACATTAGAGCTCATATCAAGGTGATGCTGAGCTGGATGAGTCACAGCGGAGGAGGTTCAAAAACTCTTCCTCCATAAGCTGATGACAAAGAAACTGCTCTCTGTTTTCTAAATGTATGCTGGGACTCATCCACTGAGATAGAAGAAGAAGGATTCTTAAGGCCAAAACCGATAATATTTCTAAGCACCGGCTCCACGGACAATTTACGTTACGCTACGAGACAGAGAGCTATGAATTTATTCTTATATAATAATCATGTGGTTGGATTTATGTTTAAGATGTCCTTACTGGACTCTATATTCAGTAAACCAGGCAGAACCAGTTGGAGAGGCTGCGTGTGGCGTCTCCGAGCCTCCGTACATCGCTGTCACATTAATGATGTAATCTGATAGGTCGGTGTCTTCAATGCAGTTTTTGGTGACTTTGCAGCTTCTGCAGTTTATTTTCATCCCTCCTGATTTGTTTTATTGTTTGTACCAGTACCAGTTTTGTACCATACAGTATATTTTTCAGAGAACAGTAACATAATGAAACCCTGTGAGACACCAGAGCATTACGTTAGTAACCTGTTAATGTCCACAGTGCCTCTTTACAGCCCTTAAAGCACTCGCTGGGCAAAGCACAAATACAGTTAAAGGCCACAGTGCAGGTTAGTTAAAGCAACACAGCAACAGTTTGTTTTAACAATCTGACTTTAATAAGCTGCCAATTGTTCAGTTCAGGGTTTCTTCTCACTGATATATGATGCCATTGTTTTCTAATACAGTTGTTTTTATCTACAGAGCGAGCGGGTCCTCTTCTGGCGAAGTCCGCCATGTTGAACCGCCATGTTTCTACAGTAGCCCCGAATGGACAAACCAAACACTGACTCTAGTTCAGTTCAGGACTTTTGCCGTTTTTCGCGGCCACCGTAGTTTCTCATGCACACCTCACAGCCCGTTCTCATTCCCAGGTCCTTAAATACAGATGCGAGTGGTGTTCACTTAGTTTCTACTCACCTTAAACTTGTTGCCGACGCTGATGAAGCTGAGTTTTCCCGCCTTCTGCTTCACGTCTTTGCTGTTGTTGGAGTTTTCGAAGAGCTCGCGGACGAAGCGGTCCTTGGACTCGCTGACGAGACACTCCAGAGACATGTGCAGGGCGTCGTTGTTCTTCTCCACAAACTTCGTCTGACAAAGGGACAGTTTTAAAACTACATTAGAAACAGCTTCAAGTTTAAAATCCTATTATTGTTAAAAAAAAAACGTGAATATATAAGATACATTAAAAAACTCTGTAGGTTTACAGGGTTTTCCCTGTTTATTTTAAATAGTACAATAGTCTGTAATAGAAAATATACTTTTTTCCACTTAAAAAGATTAAAATACATTTAGCAAATCTATCTTTTCCACAAATATTTACTGTTTATTTGATAGATCAAACTGTTAAATTCAGGTTTAATATTGTTAATACATTTCTAAAATTATGAAAAATGAGTGACAACAGTAAAAAGTTTTGTTGTGTAATTTTAATGGATTTGTTTGTTAACTGACAGATATCTTGACTAAATTCAGATTAAAATCAAGAAAGAAATCCAATAATAACAGCACTCTGCTGTAAATGTAAGCCTGATTATTTGTATTATAGCAGAGTTCACCTGTATTTATAGATCATTGTTTTACAGTGTAAATATCTTTAATTAAACATTAAAAAGACAAAACATTACACAAGATTTTATGAAAAATGAAAGCCAAAAACTGTATTTTAATTATAGGAAATTCCTGTATTTTTTAAGTATTTTCTGTTAATTTACAGTAATTTCTTTGGTGCCAAAATATTACTGTTTTTTATCATTTCTTTTTTACAGTGTATATAAAAGCGCACAGTCTCAATATGACTTTTTGGTGAATTTAAAATGTACTATCTGGGGTGTATTTATCTGAATATAATCACATCTGAATGGTCACTTGCTTTCATGTTTTTCTGTGTGGATCAAAGAAAAAGAAATAAATAACTGGATGTGACATTATTTTTAAAGATGGCTGCAGGAGAACCCACCGTTTCGTAGCACACGGCTCCTGCAAAGTGTCTGATAATAAATCCTTCATCATCCCTCACGTTCCTGTGGACGGCCAGCTTAGACTTCCTGGGTATCTGAGGGACACACACACACACACACACACACACACACACACACAGTGAAACACTCCGCAGACTTCCTGCTTATTTTCCATTTTAAATGACCCGCTAATTCCCGATCCTGTCAGTCGGTCCTGGCTGGAAGAGAAGATTAAGCGTCAGTGTTCAGTGATGTCTCACTCCTTACTGAATATGAGACAACCCTGATTATAAAACCACCTTTTAGTCCATTTTCCAGCCAATGTTTCCCACTGTGAACCGGAACCGGTGAGTTTTATGTTAGAAATGTACAATATGGGTCTCCAGCATTTAGACACTGACAGAGTATAACAATTAATAACAACTAATAATCAACTATATGGACAATATGTCAGGGACTGTTTGGCTGATTTGGTTTTATAGAGTTATTGAGGACGCTGAACCCATTACTGACATTTTCAAAATGGCCATTTAAACCAGAAGTAGACTTATTTTAACTTGTGGTGGGCTGATTTGGATTCATTTTAAGTTGATTTAAGATAATTAATATACATAATACATAACCACAGCAAAGACACAGGTTAATAAAATTGTTGCACAGTATAAAAAAATTCAACCAAACCAGAGTTGGTGATTGTTGAAAAGACTAACAACTCTTATTTATTTATTTGTTATCTTATCTACGGGGTAAAATCATGTGACTGTTTCACTCACCGTGAGGCGGAAGTGGTTTTTGTGTTTGTTGTGAACGGTGTCGGTAAAGTGCTGGTCGGTGGGTTGAGGTAGTCGGTTCTCTTCATCCAGGATGTCCAGGATGCCGACCAGCTTCGCCTCCACCAGGTCTGTGGAGAGAGTGTGAGAAGCATTAAGCTTCACTGCGTCGGATCACCTGAGGCCGCCGGACAACGTGACCAATTAAATCAGAGAGGGACGATTAAAGAACTAAATGAATGTTTAATTGAATCTGAAGAGGAGACCATAACAGTTTGTCCTTGACCTGATCTGACTCACAACATCATGGAAGAGCCGGCATAATGTCAACAGATCATTATTATTATTATTATTATTATTATTATTATTGTACAGTATAGAACACTTCATAGGTGCAAAGGTGATTTATTTTATCAGTAGGAGTTCAGGGAGTCCAGCATCTTCAGTATCAACTTTAATTAATTATTAGATGTTATTGTGAGCAGGGAAATGAATGAATCTCATTCTGCTGATCAACAGTAAACTTTGGTTGAAATACAGCTCAATTTAAAGACGTAATAAGCATCCAACTGCTGCTGATTGAGTTTAGCACAGCCGAGGAATTCCTGACATCAGATTTAACGGAACAATGAAACACTCAGTACCCAAACCGAGTCTGTGCTTGGCCGTTAAAACATAAAAGTAACATACATATAGTTGCATCTTAAATTAGCTAATGTTAACAAAACGCTAAGTAATTAGCTACATAATCAACATCAGTTGTTAGCTGTTTTGTTAGATCTGGTTGAAAAATGTGGTTGTTTTTTTAACACGAGCCTAGCACATAGCACATAGCATGTAGCACATAGCATGTAGCATATCTAATGTGACGTAGCGCTGAGCGATACATGCAAGTTAGAGCGTGCTAACATTACTTATAAGATGTAACCAGCTAGCTAACGTTTATTTATAGATTAACTAACAAGGTAGACAGTTAGTGACTGAGGTCAATTAGCTATCTTAGCATTTTGCTAACTATTCATCCTCTCATCTGTCCCTTCATCCCTCCATCTACCCCGTCCACCTGCTCCCAGTCACAGGAAACAACCAACTATTTCTGCACCAGAATCTACAAGCTGAGGGAAAAGGGGATGATTGAATGAATGAATTCAACTTGATAAAGAATACTCTGAGGTAAACAACTGAAGTAATGAATGAATGAATTAAAACTAACCCTATTACTCTATTACTAGAATGAATGAATTAATGAAAGAGTGAACTGCTGCAATGTGTTGTGAGGTTTTTCATTAGTTTGTAATCTTTGTTTTATTTCTGCTTTGTCTTGCATGCAGTCGTGTTTCTACGGTGCAGATTTAATTTTCTGCTACGGTGAGTCTGATTTTAATGTTTTCAAAACACACAACAGGAACACAAACAAACAAACAAACAAATACATTTTAGTAATCTACAGTTTGGAGCCAACAAACAGAGCTTGTTGTAAACAGCCTGTGTCGACCGCTGCCTCCCTCCAGCGGCCTCCGCTGTAGTTAAGCATCTAAATTTGATGCTATTTCACCAGACTGGACATCAGCAAAAAGCATAATTAACCTCCTTCACCTCTAATCACCTCACATCCATCTCCCTCCCCCATTCGTGGAGTAATGAAGACACATTTCAGTCAGGACAGGAGTTCAGATGCTCGGGGGCTTCATCACTTTGTCCGTCCATGAAACGGCGCCAAGGCTCCGGGTCAAACTGTGGAGAGGCAGCTCGCACAAAACTGAGGGCTCGGAACCAGCAGCACATTAAGGCCAATAATGAGCAGCATGCTGCCGTTCGTGGCTCTTAAACACAACTGCCTCATCGGGTTAAGCTCAAGAACATCCTAAACAACCAACCCCTCAACAACACATTTACAAACACCAATACTACAAAGTACAATCAGCGGCAGCAGCAGGCCTTCACCACCTCCGGACTCCACAACCGTTTATCTGAAGGAGCATCAGAGCTGATAGACACAGCTACAGCTCGTACACAATCCACAATGCAGTGCAACAGAGTCTGCCAGTAGTCCAGATTCAAGTCTCCAGTCAAGGCCTAAAAGTCACAAGTTAAGTCCCAAGACAAGAACAAAAGGTCCCAAGTCAACACAGGAAAATTTAAAGTCACATCCACAGTGAGGACCTACAATTGCTACGTTAAGACATGACAGCTAAAAGTCAAGGTACAGTGAGACCTTCTAGTCCCACATCAAGTACTGAATCAACATCAAGTCCAAAGACAACATAGGAAAACCCCAAATTAAGACAGAATGTGTAGAGAGTCGTGTTCCAAGGTAAGATCTTCAAGACCAAAACCAAGACAGAAAAGCCCCATGTCAAGTCTCAAGTCGAGAACCAGTCTTCAACTGACACAAAGTCCCAAGTCAACACAAAGTCTGAAGACAAAACAGGAAAACCCCAAGTCAAGAAAGTCATGTCCCAAGTTAGGAACTACAAGTCCCATGTCAACACAGAAAAGTCGTGAGTCACATACAAAGTTAGGACCAACAAGTCCCACATCAAGACAGGAAAGCCCCAAGTCAGTTAAGATCGAATTTAAGTCAAGACCCACAAGTCTCAAGTTACAACCTACATGTCCTGACAGAAAAGTAAACCCCCGAAAACAGGAAAAGTTGAAGTAAAAAAGAATGTCGTCAGCCAAGAACAGAAAAGACACAATAACAACAAAAAGGTATATCTAAGTTAGGGTATTAAAGTTCTCAGTTAAAGTATCATCATTTACTCTGAAATACTGATATCAATATGTGGAAAAACTCAGTCAGGCCACCTCCAGAAATGGTTTGACTAATCAGATTTCAATCTGTCTCGAATGTGTGAGTGTAAATGGGATCTAATTGCAACAAAGATCAACAGGTTATTTATTGCTCTTCCATCTTCAAGTAAACAGATTTCTCCTTTTTCTGTACATGTCAGACCTGTCAACATATTGCATACACACATTTAAAAATGCATCTGCAGGAGCTAAACTCAGACTTAAACCAATGAGAAACATCTGTTATCCTGTGTATAAATATAATGTCTGACCACTTTATAGCACATTCTCATTAACTGCAGAACGCTGATTCACTGTCCTGATATATTTTCTAGACATTCAAGCACCATCTGGATATTATTAAATATCTCAAATACATAGTTTGAATGTGAATGTGTTCATTCAGGAATGAGTATAATCCAGACTTGTCTTCTACTGGGTCTTGTTATCGTCATTATGTTCTACACACGGGTAAAAAGAACCATCAAATATTAGCTATAAAATATAAAATAACAAATATTCAACAGCGTTTGCTGAGGAACACTCTGAACAGCACAAATATGTCAGATGAGCAACTGGAGCTGCTGTGAATGCAGAGTGCAGAGAGTGATGATCATACCTATGCAGTCCTGATTGTCGACATAGTGAACCTCGTTGACTCCGAGCCCCTCCCTCTGGTACAGCTCTTGCTCCTGGAATGCAAACGAGATATTTCTAATGAGAATCCATAACGATATCCACAGCGCGTACGGCTTTCGTCTAATGAGGACGAGGACAGTGCCGTGGTTCCGCCTGGAAGGCATTCTAGTTCTCTAACAAACGGCGCTTTATACCATCACGCTTTCATGCAAAATGAGCATCTTAAGGTTACGGCTTTCATGCTGCTAACAGATGTTTGATCTCTGTGTAAATGAGCAGCTTTAAGGTCAAATGAGACATTAACAGTTGTTAGAGAATGAAACACAATCCCAAATGTCCAAAAGTTGCTCTTTTCTGACGCTACAGCTCTGACAAGTCTTTCAAACCGATTTGTTATTGATCCAAAACTTTGTTTTCTGCAATTTGACTACAATCACACAACGATTCCACAACAGTGACATTGCAGCCCTCGAGGTCGTCGGCTGAACAGCGTTTCTTTTGTCCAAAAACACCACTCCAGAACCACAATACACCATTATGGAGGCTGCAGCTCTCCGAGGTCGCCGGAGGCGCAGCGTTGGCGGAGGTTTAAGCACTCGAGTGGCTTCTAGTTCATTGTGTGAAGACCCTGACTTGCAAAAAAAGAATAATTATATATTGAGCATCATTATTTTTCTAAACAGAAATGTGGTGCTGTGGAACATTGCAGACATGGTCGGCATTAGTTTTCATTCTGACTGTTGCTAATGATTGTTTGGATGCTGAAGAAACAAGACTGAGACCACTGGTGTTGCAAAGTTTACTGAAAGCAACACAGAACTTTCTACATGTTTCTGCAGCTGTTATCTGAAACACTGGTTCCCAAACTTTTTCTGTCATTTAGTTAAGGGACATATTTTATGGATATTTCAAAACTGTACAAAGAACCCAAATAACGAACACAATAACCACAAGAAGTTTGTGTAAAACCAGTGATTTGGATGAATTTTGAGAAGATTATTTCCTGTTTAGGGAACTTTTTATACAATCTCTTTGTCTGTATTATACATTTTTTCTAATCTTTTTTAACAATCAAACAGACTTAATAGGCTTCTTTTTTGCACAAATTCTGTTTTCTTGTCCCAGACGCTTGCTCATTGTTTTATTATCTTACTTTACTTTATGAATGTAAACCAAATGCTGAGAAATAAGCCTCGCAATCTCCTCATGAACCTTTGGCAACCCCTAGTGGGGCCCCCGACCCCCAGGTTAGGATACCGTTGATCTAAAATGTATTTTACTTCTAGAGAAACACATTCACAGGACAAGCAGTAATCATCATAAAGCACACTTTCAAAAGGGAAAAATACAGTTTTTGAATCAAACTCTCGACTTTAACTTTGTGATCAAAGGTTTAATGTGTCTGGGCTCTGGAAATTCAATACTTTAATTCAAATATGAGACACCCACAATTTGACAATATGACACCTGCTCAAAGTATAAATCAAAGTCCTGAGTCATTCTGAGATGTTTGCTTAGATTTTCCGCTGTTTGTAAGTGCTGCCTAATGGATCCGAGGTGATTGATTTAGTTTTTCTTCCCTCAAATGGAAACACGCTGTAGGTTTTTAGAAAGACGCTCTCACCTCTTTCAGGATGCGCTCATTGAAGAACTGCTGCAGTTTCTCATTACAGTAGTTGATGCAGAACTGCTCGAAGCTGTTGTGCTCGAAGTACTCTGTGAAACGGGAACAGACAGTCGGTTAAAGATGCTGCGACATAATCAAAGAGAAACTGAAAATTCTAACTATTTCAGGGGCAAATCCGCAGTATTGACGCCCTTTATAGTGTCAGTATTAAGCAAACAGCAGACAGAGTCCTTACAGTAATGACTCTAAGACAAACATCTTAAACATCTTTTGTTCCTGCAAACTACTTGAAGTCAATCTGAGCGATATTCCACTAAATCCTTTCTATTCTCAAACTTTGTTCTTTCACTTTAGAGACAGATATTATTCTTACTATGTATAAACTTTAGCACAGAGGTTACCAACCTCTGTCCTTAAGGGAGCTCTTTTCTCTTTTCTGACTATATTTTATGGATATTTCATATTATATTCAATAATAACAATAACAGTAGAGAACAGCTAATAAACTGTACTAATTAACAAAATGCTGAGATGTAGGCCTGTATATATTTTTTGAGGAATCACAAATGTTATGCTTAAAGATTATTTCAATATTAAACAGTTTCGTTTTACTATTGATATAAAATATCTGGGCTGAACAGTTGAGAGACTTTCTGTGAAAACATTTCAATTCTTATTCTGAAGATGTTGTGAAGCAGAAAATGAGAAGCAGCAACCTGAATGTTTGTACAGGGATGTTTGTGAATATTGGTAATCTGTGAAAGAATCAGGTTCTTCTGGCTCCTCCTAGTGCTCCACTGTTGAGTCTCAACAATCAACTATCTTCAAGCCTCCTTATATCTTTCTCGGCTCTGGTCGTTTTCGTCCAGTGGATACTCAGTCTCATGTTGTACTGTAAGGATCAGCCCTGATACCGAGATTTAACAGCCATCCACACCAAGAACGATAACAATGACTATAAATATATCGTTTTAAAAAGAGTTCACACCACAACAGTAATGATAATTAAGAGTTATTCTGACACTAAAACCAGTTCCTCCAAAATGTGTTAATTATTTTTATTTTTATACAGCACATGTATCGGATCAATACCTGTTATCAGCCAAAGTTCAGGTATCGGAATCAGTATTTCGAAAGGAATAAACTGTATCAGACCATATCAAATTGTTCCTCTTTAAATGTTATCACCGTAGAGATGAGGTTTTGAGGGATACTAACCGAAGCCGGCGATGTCCAGGACGCCGATGAAGTTGGCGGAGGAGTCGAAGGGGAAGCACTGGTTGACCCTGGTCACCACGTGGTCGAACAGGCGGCTGTACACGGCCTTCGCCAGGGCGTCCCGAGCGTTGTTAGCCTGCTCCACTTTGAGCGGCACTCTGGCAAAGACACACAGGGATAAAAGAGGGTCGGATGATTTACTGTGTTGGGTTTTGGAGCGTGATGTGTTAAACCTTAAAGTGTTAATTATTTACTATAATTACACTTCACAGGGTTCATTGGTGAATCATTAATTTACAGAAAACTTATATAAATCACTTTTATAAAGTGTGGCTCTTGTAAACAGGATCAAATGTTTGTTGAAGGGTCAATTAAAGTTAAAGCACTTGTAGGAGTTGAAGTGTCACTTGAAGGTCTGAAGTGTCAGTGTTGAAAATATGTAAGAAAATCCTCTCAGGATAAAAGTCAGGCTTTTAGGAGCTTTATGGAGTCAAATGCTGAATGGGAGTAACAGTTGAAAGCTCCAAACAGTAAGTGGACCATTGATCTCGAGGCAGACGACCAACCACCTAGAGCCGGGGTCTGTCCGAGGTTTCTGCCTCTTAAAAGGACGTTTTTCCTTGGCCGTCGCCCCGCGATGCTCACACTTCTATTATGCAAGTTGGCGCTATACAAATAAAACTGAATTGAATTGAATTGAATCTCACAGCCAATGTTAGCATAACTCTAGCTAACTATTAAGCTACTTTCTATCAATCATTAGTTACTTGGTTAACGTTTTGTCAACGTTAGCTAAAGTAAGAAGATGTTTATCTTTTAACCACCTTCAAAATGTGGTTTTCAAAATGGATTAGCTTAGCACATAGCATATGTAAGTACAGGAAAGGAGGAAGTTGACAGACAAATTTTATTAAGTTTATTAAGTAAAAATGCCGGTTTCTGCATTTTAAATGTGAAAATGTAGTGGTTTTCTTTGTTTTATATTCTAGTTAACTGAGTATCTTTTGGGGTTTTTGGGCTCTGAAGAAGTGAAATTTTTCAAAATTTTCTGATATAGACTAAAACTAAAAAAGATACTCAGAAGAAAGAATACATTTAAAAAAAACACTAGCAGCTACAGATACAGCTTGGTCAATCAATAAGTATTGATATCGATAGCCATCAATATCAAGGTCATAAAAAAGCCATTAAAACCCCTCTATAGGTGATGCACCTCTGACCTCAGCTCTCCATGTTATCAATCTTTTTCTTAATGTTGGCCACTTAACAATTTATGTCTACTCTGCTGTCAATAACACACGTAGATAATTGCCTGAAATAATAAGCGTACACATAAATCTGTCCATGAAGATAAAGCGAGTGCTTTATTCACCTGCAGACCAACGCTCAGTATAAACACACAGGGCTTGCCTGGCTTTTCCAGGCAGATAATTGTGTTATTGACAGTCAGAGAAAAGAGAGATTGGGTGTGAAGCAGCGGCCAGAAAATGGCGACAGAAACCATAACCGGCAGCGAGCTCTGTGGAGGCATCGTAATTGCTTCTGAGTGCGGTTCAATAGCGGCAGACAAAAGGAGCGACCTGATCGCAGGGGTCAGATAAAATATACCGCATTAATCTGCTGCGAGGGTTGAAGTTTCTGCACTGGCGTTTACCTCTGGACAACTGCAGTGCATTCAAGGACACAACGGGACATAACTCTGCACGAGTGGCACTCACAGGCTCCCAAAGCTCAGACTAACTCCCAAAATCCACCTCCCTTCTGCTCTCTCGTCCCTGAATTATCTCCTCGGCACACACCTCTTTCAGCCACGTGCAGCGCCCGGTCCCTGCAGGTGCCTCGGTGGTATTTTTCTAACACATTATGCTGTGATAGGACGACCTGCTGAGCGAAGGGCAGACCCCCCTAAAGCTGCAATCTGTAATTCACTTCTACATCTGCATTCTGAGTGAATCCACTGTGTGCTGTATCTATACATACACATGTTCCTTATTTAAATCCAACCACGCACGTCAACAGCTGTGAATAAAGACGTTAAATTACAGAGCTCAATGTGGCTTCAACACAGTCAATGAAAAAAAGGCTTTTGTTGTTGCTTTTCAATTTACATGTTGTGTTTATGTCCCATGTTTCAGAGAAATCTGTTCCCTATAGTCTGGTTTGTTGTACCGACTCGGTACCACGTTGGTTCCGATCGTTTTGAGGCTGCGTCAAAAAGGTATTTGCGGCAGACCTGCGTATAATAGTACATGAACTTTTAAATAGATAATTTCCATATTTAACCTTTATATTCATTTATTCAATAGATGAGAGTGAAAGTTTATTTTTGACCTTGGAAATATCAGTCAAGGTAGCTAACAACCACATCTCAAAATCTCTACCTGCTAATGAAGACCATGACAGTGTGGTTGAAAGCTTGTAGCTTGTTTTCAGGACAATTATTAAGTTTTATAAGTAAATGTCAGACAGAGTTAAAGCTCTGAGCTCTGTAACAAAGTTAAAGAACAAAAGTGTTTCAGCAGCTCACCGAAGTTACGGCCGCAGAGTGAACCTTAAAACCCGACTTATCGCCTATCAACACTCCCACAGCTCCTCACCTTCACCCCGGCCCTCCCTCCGCTACCTGCCATGTTTAATTCATGCCGCCGCTTCCTCGGAGCCGGAGCACCGCCGCCAGAGGTTTTAATACTGCGGCGAGGCCCCTCTCATTTAAAAACCAAGAGGTCTAAATGCCAGGGCAGCATAATGTCAGAACACTAATCGTACAAGTAGCCTAATATGTATTCCCTGTGAGCCTCGGCAGCGGGACGGTTTCTCTCTCGGTGTAATTACTGGTGTCGCTTTGTGTAGAAATCGTGAATCTCTGAAGACGCCTTCAGGCCTGCACCTGCTGCCCGACTCCGTCCTCTCAGACGCCACACGGGGAAGAAATGGATTTTAAAATGGACTCAGGGAAGTTCTGCATTATAACTGAGAGACACTTGAGGTTCCTGTTGAAATATGCTGAACTACATTACACAGCATGAAGCCACCACTCGTTTATTTAAAGCTCACTCGCTACTTCCACTTGCACTGTTTACTGTAGCTACTGTTAATTTTATTATATACATACATAATACTTATATATACATATATAATATCTTATATCTGTATTTGTGATCTGTCTCTTAGGTCAGGCGATTTTTAATTTTAGTTTAATGGTATGTTTTGTATGCTTACTGGATGCCTTGAATTTCCCTCGGGATAAATACAAGTATCTATCCTATCCATCTAATCTATCTATCATCACATCCTATCAATCTATCCATCTATCATCTATCATATCTACTATCTCTATCCATCTATCTACTATCCATCTATCCATCTATCTATCTATCGATCTCTCTCTCTCTCTATCTTGTTGGAACATCTGAAGATGCCTCAGATGTATAACTTTTGGAGGGTTCTGGGCTGGCGTTTTAGAAAAGGTAAGGGAAGAAGCTTTGAGGTAGAAAACGTGCTGTTTTAGAAGCGTTTCTGTGGGTTTGTTTAATGGCACGTCTGGCTGCCAGGTTGACGGACTAATCCCCCGTCTCTCACAAGCTGATAACCGCTGACCTCACCTGGTGGGGTCCCTGTGATTGGCATCCCCCATTTTCTGTTTGCCCTCCCACTCATTCTCCCTCTCTGTTGCCCGCTGTGTTGAAATTACACTGACGTTAGTTTAACCGTCGTACAACCCTGTCTGTCTGGAATCATAATCTCTCTCCTTCACTCTTTTCCCATCTTTTTGTTGCTTATCGTGTGAACTACCGTCAGAAACTTCCTCTTCACTTTAAAGAAACTCTGTTCCCCTTTTGAGTCTTCCTCACTTATCCTTTCAGTCTGTATCTCACCCAACAAGTGCTCCAAAACTGCGTTCCCACCAAGGCGAATACAATTACATAAAAAGTCAATACAAACACGTGAATTCAGCACCCAGAGTTACTGCTGCTACTATACCTTTATAGAGATCAGACAGAGAAGGAGATTGCTCTGACAAAAGTAAAAGAGGAAAGTGGACTACTTGGTAAATATGCGTCTGTTACAGTCGGTTTTACTTCACTATAAGCTAAGTTAGCATAGCCCTGATCAACCAAACCTCCATCAGAAAACAAGCATTTTAAGAGTTGTTTGCTCGTCGTCTTGCGCATAGATCAGACAAAGTATGAACTGAGGCTTTTTACAAATCGCCATCATGACGTAGTTATTTCAGCATCATTTTGATCTGTTTATTGACATTAAATCACAGCAAAATGAGTTTATTTTAAGCTCATAGCACCGTTGCAAGAGGCTGAATAGTCACCTTGCGTGAGTAAATAAAAATTATCCTGCGAGTAAACTAGCGTTTCTGTGGGAACGCAACGTTACATATCTAAGCTGCAAGAATTAAACCTACAATAACTGATGCCCACATGATAACAGGTTGTAAACACAGCCACTAGGGGGCGCTGTCACTTCATGTGTTTTTTGTTTTTTTTGGCACATTGCTGAAATGATTTTAACCACCTCCCTTTTTCTATCTCATCCTTCACTCTTTCTTCTTCTCCGTCTCTTGATCCGTCACCAGGTTCAGTTCCTGAATTAGATTTTGTATTAAAGTTTGACATTTCATTAAAATGTCAATCAACGTATTTCAGTCAGCTTCAGCTCTGTGAATATTATGGAGATTAGATGATGAACGTAGTGACTGGCAGGTTCCTCTTCCTCAATCTAATATGTTTTCTTGAGTGAATCTTCTGCTAATTTCATTTCCTGAGTTTTCTGTTGAAGCAGCAGGAGCAAAGGTAAAGGTGTGTGGCAGTAATACGCTGATGCTGCGTTTACACTTCCAACAGTAATAGAGGAAGAAGCAGAGTCATCACTTATCCAGAATATCTGATTGGATCAACTTTAAATTTTAGCAGTTCGATCTAAACACCATCACGATTTAAATTTGTGTGACTTGTGAGTTTTCGACGAAGGGCGTGTCCTTGGCATGTGGCCGGATTTCTACCTTTCACCAAGAAACAGGAAGTTGTTGCAACTTCAGTGCACTTTTTTAAAATTATTTTCATCGGAATTGACCAACTCTTAAGGACACATCAGAAAACAAAGGTCCCTATTTTGTATCGGTAAAGGCATTATATATCGGCCACTG